GTCCGCTCCACACTCCCCTCCAGCTCCACCACACCCGGCACTTTTCCCTGCAACCGCAGGAAGTGCTACACCTGCCCCCATACCTCCTCCCTCACCCCCATCCCAGGCCCCAAGAAGACTTTCCACATCAAGCAGATGTTCACCTGCACATCTGCCAATGTGGTATACTGCATCCGCTGTACCCGGTGTGGCTTCCTCTACATCGGGGAAACCAAGCGGAGACTCGGGGACCGCTTTGCAGAACACCTACGCTCGGTTCGCAACAAACAACTGCACCTCCCAGTCGCGAACCATTTCAACTCCCCCTCCCATTCCTCAGACGACATGTCCATCCTGGGCCTCCTGCAGTGCCACAACGATGCCACCCGAAGGTTGCAGGAACAGCAACTCATATTCCGCTTGGGAACCCTGCAGCCCAATGGTATCAATGTGGATTTCACAAGTTTCAAAATCTCCCCTCCCCCCACCGCATCCCAAAACCAGTCCAGCTCGTCCCTGCCTCCCTAACCTGTTCTTCCTCCCACCTATCCCCTCCTCCCACCTCAAGCCGCACCTCCATCTCCTACCGACCAACCTCATCCCGCCCCCTTGACCTGTCCGTCCTCCCTGGACTGACCTATCCCCTTCCTAACTCCCTACCTACACTCACCTTTCCTGGCTCCATCCCCGCCTCTTCGACCTGTTTGTTTCCTCTCCACCTATCCTCTCCTCTATCCCTCTTCTATCCGCCTCCCACTCTCTCCCTATTTATTTCAAAACCCCCTTCCCCTCCCCCTTTTCTGATGAAGGGTCTAGGCCCGAAACGTCAGCCTCTCTGCTCCAAGGTAAAGGACAGTGTGTGCAATTTTACTTATCAGCATATTCTGATGAAAATCATTGACCTGAAACATAAACCCTGTTTTTTTTTCTCTTCACTGATGCTGAGTATTTTCAGCATTTGCTGTTTTATTTGACAGAGCTGCTCCTTGATTACCATGCTGAAACATTTGAGTGTTTGCTGCAGTAGTTGGAACTTTTAATTTAACTTTTCCTTTCCCCACTCTTGCTGCTGTGTCTCCTTGCTGGAGTACAGTGCTGTAGGTTCTGGAATGGGGTGCCAAAGACACTATGGAGCCTCTATGTGGTTATTATTTATGCATGAGTCAAGACATTGAAGATGGTCGGTTATCTGACTGCAGGGGCATTCAACTAAACCTGATAGCCAGATGTATAATTTCACTACGTGGTCATTAATACTGGAAGTGATTTTGCTTGTGTCCTTCCTGAGACTTGCTTACTCATTGCTGGTATTTCTTCCTTGTGTGACAATTTTCAGGACCTCAACAATGAAGAGTAAAGCCTAGGGGAATATTACTGCTGAGTTCCCATGGGGTCACTGGATTAGGATCAGGAGCCCTAGCTTTTTTTCCAATTTCCTTTACACAAAGGCACCAAAATCTTTCTTGTGACCCCACTGCTGCCTTCTCTGGGTGCTTACCTGGTAAGGTTTAGGGAATCAGTTGTCTGAGCTGGTGTTTCACCAGACAATTCATTTATGCCCAGTAGAGGCAGCGTGGACAAGATGGCCCAAATGACTGCCTCCTGTGCCATAATGGCTCCGGGATCAGATTTCGAGCCTCTTGTCAACAATGCCCTGAAAGCAGCCAATAGAAGGAGGCTAACTTTTTTTTTTAAAAAGACCTGAAAGGATGCTAGAAATCAGAAACAAAAACAGAAAATGCTGGAAAAACTCATCAGGCCTGGCAGTATCTGTGAAGAGAAATTAAAGTTAATGTTTCGTGTCCAGTGACTCTTCAGAACTGATTTTTTTTTCCCTGTTCCCTCCTGCCAAATACTATCTACCTTATCACTGTAGTGCAAAGAACATGAGTTGAGGAACATAGCAGTCTGGTACAGAGAGCACATTTGCAGTTCATAGACCTCCAGTCACATTGCTGATTCAGACTTTTAAAATTCCTTTTCTTGCTCAGCTGAGAACCCTTTGGACTTCCTCCGGGATCTGCCCCAGTTCCAAAACATGAGACAAGTACTTCAGCAGAATCCATCAATGTTACCAGCCCTGCTTCAACAGCTGGGCAGAGAGAACCCACAACTACTGCAGGTAAGGATGAAAAGCTATCTGCAACTTTAACACATTGTTTGCAACAACCTGACCCTAGACATATATAAATTAGTTAATGGTGCAAGAAAAGCAGATATGCTTCAACTTAAGCTGCAGCATTCGGATGAATGTGTAACCAACAACAAGAGCGAAGTGAGGAACTTTATGCATAAAGCGATAAACTTGCAGGAAGGGTAGTGAAGGCAAAAAAAATGGAAAAAATTTGATGTTATGATTGAGATGAAGAAAGAAATGTAGGGTCTTTAATCTGGCTGAACTAAGGTAGAGGAGTGGTTTTTCTCAGTCTTTCTTAAGGCTGTAGTTTCTCAACTTAGTGAGCGCAATCAACACCGTATAATCAATATGCGCTCAGCTGTGTTAGTTTACAAGCCTTAATTCTGCTAAGGAATGAGTTGGAAAAATGGAAGAATATTAAAAACTTCTTATTTCCCCCTTAATCACCAAAATACTGATTCCGGTACGGTTCGAAATAATTTAGAAAGGGTAGCCTTACAGTGCTGTCTTGCTTCATATAAAATCAGCTTTGTTTAATTGGTAGCAGTCTTGCCTGAGTCACAAAAGATTAATATGCAGGTACAACAAGTTACTAGGAAACCTAATATAATATTATTGCTTATTCTGAGGAAAATTGAATAAAAAAGTAAGGAGGTTATGCTTCAGCGAAACAGCATAATGGTGAGACCGCAGCTCGAGTTGTGTGCGCGATATTGGAATCCTTATTTATGGACAGATCGAAATGCATTGAAAGCAGTCGAGAGAAGGTTTACTAGTCTAATACTGGGAATGGGTATATTGCTCTATGAGGAAGCTCGAACAGACTAGCACACATCCGCTGGAGTTTAAAGAAGTAAGAGGTGAATTGACTGAAATATACAAGATCCAGACAGTCTTTACAAGATGGCATTTGGAGAGAATGTTACCTCTTGTGGGATTCTAGACTGAGGAGGTCACTGTTTTAAAAATAAGCGTTACCCATTTAAAACAGAATTTTTTTTCTCTCTAAGAATTTGGAACTTCCATCTGAAAAGACAGCGGACAGCAGAACCTTTGAATACTTTAAGGTAGAGGTTGATAGTTTATTGATAAACATGGAAATGAAAGTTTATTGGAAGTAGGCAGGAATGTAGAGTAGTCATATCAGCCCGGATCTTACAGAATAGCAGATCAGGCTTCTGGGGCTGAGTGACCTGCTCCTGTCCTAATTCACATGCTTGATTGTCACCCCACCGCCTGCTTCAGCATGTTTTGTAGCCTTGCACTTGAATGTCACTGGGGCATTATTGCATCACTGAATGAGCTGTCTTTTGATTGAGATATTAATCTGAGGCTCCATCTGCTTTGAGTGGATTTTGAGAGATCACATAACACTATCTGCAGAAGAACATGGGCATTCCACCTATAACTCTCACCTTCAAAAACTAGTTGCTGCTATTTGTGGGACCTTTCCATGGAAAAGTTAGCTGTTCTTTGGAAACATATCCTGGTGATATATAAACAAAAGGGTTTAATTTCCTTTCTCAACTTGGAGTGGTAGCCTTGATAGTGCATTTACACCCTTAGCCAGATGTTGTTGTCTTCACACCAATATGTACTTCTCAAATGTTAAAGGAGTCATTCCATTTCTAGACAAATTTATGTACATGAAATTCTTGTGATTTTCCAGTGTAATAGGGTGTTATATCAACACAGTTCTAATCATTGGTAATGACTTCCCTGCAGCAAATCAGTCAGCACCAAGAACACTTCATCCAGATGCTAAATGAACCTTTAGAGGATGTAACTGAGACTGAAGGGGAGATGGGAGCAGTTGGAGAAGATGCATCGCAGTCAAGCTACGTTCAAGTTACACCCCAAGAAAAAGAAGCCATAGAGCGGGTCAGTGAATACCATGAAAGAATTTAGCTAAAGTAGAAAATATATTTTCATTACGTTGAAAACTTACTTCCTTCTGTAAAATTGTAGATCTCTTTGAATGTTCAATAATGGGCTATTAAGAGAAAATTACTTAATATCTCTCTTCCTTTAGCTGTGTTGTTTGGAAGAGCGGGGGCTGGGGGGGAATGCATCTTGATACGAGGAGCACAATCTCAGAATGAGGGGCAGGCCTTTGAGACTGAGATGAGGGGGGATTTTTTTCTGAGCATGGTAAATCTTTCGAATTCTCTACATCAGAGGGCTGTGGAGACAGAGTCATTGAGTATGTTCAAGATGGAGATCAATAGATTTCTAATTGCTAATAGCATTAGGGGATATTGGGATGGTGTGGGGCAAATGGCATTGAGATGAAGATTGAGCATGATTTAATCTAAGGGCCAAATGGCCTACTCCTTCAATTTCCTGTGTTTCCATCAACTGTTCAAATATTATCAGGATGGAAATTTCTCAAAAGTGTTGCAATTTCTTCTTTATCGTTTCTCCCTTCTTTCTGTGAGGCTGTTGACTTGTGTTGTTTATGTTTACATAAGGTACCTGACATTTTCCAGTAACTTGCTGCATTCAGTGTCAGCAGGTTACTCAACTATTATAGCCAACTCCCATCCTAATCTTTTGACACATGTACATCACTTCCAGTGCCATAGTATATGTTCCCACTAACGTCCCTTAGCTGTGCATAGCCTATTTGTTAGCCGTCCACTTCCTTCAAGATTGCTGCCAATGCATCTTAAAGTGGACTGCGCTTGTGCATGGCCCATTAATCCCTGGCACAGCATGTTCCTGATTGCTGTTTGGGCGTACATCTCCCTTGAGGGAATTATGGCTGATCCCTTTATTTTCTCTAACCTAAGACAGACAAGACCAATTTTAGCATCCCAAATGCTGCTCTAGCAGAGACTAAGGTACAACATGGAATTAGGGACTCTGCGGTATTTTTGACTCTGACCTACTTGAGAATGATGCATTTCTTCATTTCAAATCAAGAGATATCCATTGGGTCAATCAGTAGTGAAGAAAACTGGCTTTCTCTTTCCAGTAATATTTAGTTATGAATGCAATTCATGGAGACTTTGTAGCTTTCTATTACATCTCAAACTCTGACCTCTTGTAATCCAATGAAGATAGAAATGATCCTTACAGATACTTGCAAATATACTGTTCTTTTTGTCTGCGTGTGCCTGCACCATGTTTCTCGACTGACCGGTGGAACGGTTTTTGTTTTGTGCAGTAATACTGCAGTAACCCTGAATAAGAGGTATTACTCTTGTAAAGTACAGCTGCTAAAAGGCAACATATGGGCTCACTCTGGCTCGGGTGATTCAGGCTAGATAGAGGAGACAGGACAGATGGCAGGATATTATGAGGCTGGAGCATAATCAGGTGATACGACTCACAAGAGTGACGCCTGGGTTGTATGTTTGTTTACTTTCCTTTTATTGGTTCTTGGAGAAAGCAAAGCAGAGGTTGATAAGAGGCAAAAGCGAGTTCTACACATCATCAAGATCAGGTAAACATGGTCAGGTTTCCTTCCGAGTATATTTATGAATAACAGTTTTTTTGGACAAAGTGCTCAGTTTTTATGATCATGTTCTTACGCCAGCCCAGAATTTATTGAGTTCTGATTTGCCACTGGACTTTTTGGGATTTGAAATCACGTGGGTTACTGGCAATAATATACAACTTTCAGTTGGTTCGTTTTGCTCCATTCCTGTCCCCACAATGCTGGCTTCTTCCAAGTACTGTTGTAGGGGCAAAAGTTTCCCTCCATCCTGCTTCTTAAGTGACTATCATATTACAGTTTTATAGACAGATAATTTTCTTTCCTGACATCTGTACACATCACTTCCTATGGTTCAGCCTAGACTTAGCCTTTCTGGTGGGCCTGAATTGTGTTTGTTTTTCCAAGCTTACAGCATTTGTGGTTTGGTATTTCTTTTGACTTTGTATCGTCTTAAAGTTCTTGCCCATATTTTGCAAATCCCACTAATCCCTGAACCTCGCTGATATATCTGTGCCTCTCCACTTCTGGCCTCTTAATTATCTCAGATTTCTTGTCACTCCACCATTACAGTTGTGTCTCCAGTTGCCTCGGCCCCCTTGATTCTGTGCCTCTTTCTCTCTTAAGCTGTCTTTGAAACTTACAGTGTCCTAATTTCTTATGTGGTATGGTATCAAATTTTGCTTAATAATGGGCTAGAAGCACCTTGTGATGCTTGACTGTGCTTAAATGCAAGTTGTTATTATTTGACATTTGCTTTTCCTTTCTGTGTCTTGCACAGTTAAAAGCCTTGGGTTTTCCTGAGGGCCTCGTCATTCAGGCTTACTTTGCCTGTGAGAAGAACGAAAATCTGGCTGCAAACTTCTTGCTGCAGCAGAACTTTGACGACGAATGAACAACAGGGAAGAAACTCCTGGCATAACTTGGATGTCTGATTATCTGCTCTCAAGTGCGCAAACCAATTTTAATAGAAATGCTATCTTTCAGCTGTGAATGAAAATAAGGATAGAAATAACAATTAGAGACTGTACATTACAGTTTAAGTGGGGCTAGAAACATAACTAATTTTAACCTAGAAAGGCTGCAAATTGAAATGGGGGCGAATATCTTCAATATTAAAGCAAAAGAAAAACTGTAAATATAACTTGTTTACTGGATTTAAAGATTTGTTTTCACCTCAAATGATACAAAATTAATCCCCCAAAAATGGGGAGCATGGGGGTGTGAGATAATCCATATTCAACTGAATATTTAAGAGGGTTCAACATAAGTTTGAGAACCCTGGGCACAAGTGCACTAACTGCCTGCTTTAATAGCAGATGCTTCTCAGTCAGCGTATGCAGCAAAAATGGGTACATGAGTGGACCTTGTTGCTAGTTTACCTTTCACACCTTAGTTATCGTGTACACCTTTGTGTGTGTATGTGTTTCGTGAACTACCTTGCATCAGGACCATCACGTGGCAACTGTGCACAACCAAGTCATTGCATTCACATTATAAAGTGGTTTATTTCTTACAAAAAGGGCATGGGCTCTGCACCTTTGGGGTGTGTTTTTTTTTCTTGTTATCCCACTTAAAATAGATTAAGACTGATGGGATAGAACTTTGTTTTCTTTACGGTGTCATATTGATTTGTCATGGCAAAGACACCTGTCTTTAAGAGTTTCCGTGTAATTAAAAGTTATTTTTAATTAATTTGGAAAATGACCTGTGTGTTGACTTTTTGGCTGATTTGTTAAAGGATTACATTATATTCATAATATATTCAGGCTATTAAAGCCCAGATTTCCTTACTATTCTGTGTAGTGGTATGTGATCTTAAATGAGTATTAAGAGTTAGTGTCAGTGCCCACTAGATTAAGACAGGTGCTCCCTTGTGTTAAACAAATTACGTACAATGGAGTTAACATTGGAGGTTGGATAATGAAAGATCACCAACCTGAAATGTTAACTGTTTCTCTCTCCACAGATCCTGTCTGGTCTGCTGAGTATTTTCTGTTTCTCTATTAGCATTCCACCATTCACCATATTTTGCACTTGTATACAAGTGTTACTGTGCCACACAATGATAGTACTCTCACTTCTGAGTCAAAGGGTTATGAGTTCTTGTCTTACCCCAGAAACTCCAGCACAAATCCATGCTGACGCTCTAGATGTTAAACTGGGACCCTCAGTGACCACCAGGTAGATATCACTGGACTATGTGAAGTTGCACAGGTGATTTTATTCCTGGTGCTCTGGACACCAGTTATCCGTCAACCAACATCACTAAAACATCTTTTTGTCCTGAAGAAAGGCAATACCCGAAACGTTGACTTCTCCTTTCCTCCAGATGCTGCCTGCTTTGCTGTGTTCTTCCAGCCTCCTGTTTGTCTACCTTGGATTCCAGCATCTGCAGGGTTTTTTTTTGTCTGTAATCATTAAAACATCCTCTGGTCATTGTTGCAATGCTGTTTGAGGGACCGTGCTGTGGGTAAATTGGCTACTGCCTTACAACAGTGACTGTTTCAGAAATGCAGCACTTTGAGACGTCCTGAGTGATGTGGAGACAAGTCTTTCATTTTCTTTTCACTTTGATCCAGTTCAGAAAGATAAAAGGCAGGGTGAACTGTGTAAGCTTGTGAATCCAAGATTGAGTTCACCTTCACCCCACTTCGCAATGCCACTGTTTTCGAAATATTTTCTCCCAGTCAGAAGAACCATAGCAAAACAGAGGAGAGGTTAATCTATCAAATAAATGTCTAAGCTCATTTTGTTCAACATTGTTTTACCCAGTGACAAATGTATTAATCGCTATAAAATTCGATTCTCAACTGAATGTTTATTGTACACATTTCATAATAACAGTATTAAGTTCATCATTAAAATCTGTTTCATTTAGATAATTAAAGAATTATCGCATGAGAAGTACATTGGACCTATCCTACCTGTACAGCTCTTTGGTAGATCTACCCAATTAATTCCCGAATCCACTGCTTTTTTTGTCATTGCCCTGTAACTTCATTCCCTTCCAATTTTGATATCTTGATTATTGTAATTGTTTTGCCCCAGGTTCCAGCCTGTCTTTAATTCTGGGGCCTAAGACTACCAACTGATCCCCTTCAAAAATTGAGGGAATTTTACAAGGGTCCTTTTGCAACTTGAGTATGTTGTGTTGTGTGACATTTTCCATTTTCTGCTGCTGTTTACTTTCCTGTTTGCTGAACTGCTTTAAAAGCCATCTGAGCTATATTTGATAGTAACCTTTCACATTAAACCATTAACAAGTGCTTAATTTTTAATAAAGGTGATAAGGATGGGGGGTGGTTTGCTGTTGTGATGAAATATGTGTTTTCTGATTATTAAGATAACTTCAGAATTTTTTTTAGCCTAACATAACTGAAAAGTTTTCACAAGTTAGGTTTACAGTAAATCAGGATTAATCCTCACTTGGAGATAGCAAGAACTGCAGATACTGAAGTCGGAGTCAATACAGTGTGGAGCTGGAGGAACACAACAGGTCAGGTAGCATCAGAAGAGCAGGCAAGTTGATGTTTCGGGTTTACACCCTTCATCAAGAGTTGCCCTGATGAGCACTGCTCTAATAGCGCTCCATTAATTTGACATCATTCAGGACAAAGCTGTTGAAGCTTGATCAGCACTCCATCTACTCATCTCTGCTTTCTTTCCATTGGCCATTTACAAGATTGTCACCCTATCCACCACCTCTTGACATTCACACCCTTCACCAAAAGTGCACAGTGGCAGCAGTGTGTATCATCTACATAATACACGGTGGTAACTCACCAGGGTTCCATCGATAACATTGTCCAAATATATGGAATTACCACCCAGAAGAACAAGTGCAGCAGGTGCCTGCTTGTTCCCTTCCAAGTCACGCACCATCCTGACTTAGGACAAATCACCATTCCTTCACTATCACAGCATCAAAATCCTGGAAGTGCCTTCCTGAAAGCACTGTGGATGCCACTACACCATTTGGACAGCACTGGCTCAAGAAGGTGGCAATGAAAGGTTATTAGAAAGGGGTTATGACTGTTGGCCTTGCTCATATAATGAGCAAGTAGGGTCTTGTGCTACAATGGTAGTATGCCTGCCTCAAGTCCCACCTCTGGATGTGATAGCATTGAGGTGTGTCAGAACATGTCCAAACAGGTTGATTTTAGAAGAAAACTCTTATGATGTGTAAAAGAGAGTTTAGCTGAGCAGGTCACTTGTCACTTATCAATGGATGCTAAATACATTACCTCTGTTCTGCCATTCTAATTAATTCCAACTGTGTCCATTAAACTAATAGTCACCAATTGCAATATTCATAGGTATTTCACATCGATTGGATAATAAACCATGACTTCCTAGTTTTTAAGGTTTAGTATGACCACAGCTCGTTCTGCATGCACTTCCTGAATCTCTCACTCCCTGCTATTGAGGCATTTGTCCTTGGAATAGCTACATGTAGTGCCAACTAACTTGCAACTTGATTCTAATAAGCAGAGTAGGATGTTTTTCTCTCCAATCAGATCTAATCCAAATGTCAGCTGTATTTTTTATAATATGTTGATTGCTGACAATGAAACTATATCTTACAGTTGAGATAGGCACATGTCACCTTGTTCACTTAGCCAATACTACGAAAACTGGAGCACTGTACGTAACCAGAGAGGATGCATGAAGTTGCAGCTACTGTAATGGGATGAATATGTCACGTTGTGTGACACTGAGCTGACTTCTGCGTATCTCTGCCAGTTAGCAGGCAGGGTGCAGGTTTTTCTTTTGCATATCTTGGCATACAACTTCTTCCCCTCATTTGGAGATATCAGCTTACTGAACCACGTCACAAACACTCCTTCCATGACCAATAAATCATGATGTGGTAATCGTACATGAAGTCCTGACCCAGAGATGGAGATACTATGCACTGCACCCTAAGTTCTCCTACAAAGGTCAGACCATTGGTGTCATTGCTCTTTGACACACTAAGTGAGTGGTTGACTGAATCCTTGACGATCTCCGATGGAAAATAGATATACCTTGTAGCGTAGTGACCTCTATGTAGGGAAGTTTAAATATTTAACAGTTCCTGAATGGCTGCAGCTATACATCTGTTGAACTTAAACTGTGAATCCTTGATCTTTGCTGGAAAATGCATGCACAAATGCATTGGAGGTGAAATCGGGCCAGACCCAGCTGTCATTGACCCCTACATTCCATGTTTTCCATTTCAATAAACCATCTTGCTTGCATGCTACCGCTTCCATCCTAGGCCTGCTGATGTGTTCCAGAGATCCTCAAAGTGAGCTGGAGGAAAAAAAACACCTCACTTTTTGCTTAAGCACTTTACACCACATTGAGTTCAACAACTTCAGACCATGAACACTATCCTCCATTTTGATTCTCTCCCACACCCCGCCCACACTACTTTGACTTTTTTTGTGTCTTGCTGGCCTTGTTCCCAGCAGATCTGATCTATGTTATCCTATTGTATTAATCCTATCATTAACACCTATTGTACATGTCTGTCACTCCTTTAACACCATTGTCTTTCTCTCTGGGCACCCTTGCCATATGTTCTACTCACGCCAATGTCGACAGTGCAAAAATCATAATTTTTCATCCTCCTTCAGTTCCACTCCATAGAGTTTCTCCAGTGTTTTCTGCTTTTTGTTTTCATTTCAGATTTCTAGCATCTGTAGTGTTTTGCTTTTTTTGTGGCTGTGATCTTATCTCCTCCCTTAGTTGAATATTGAGATAAGATTCCCTAGCCAGACACTTGCATTAAGAAGAGCCTGAGGTAGTTACTGTAGCTATAAAGTCATACCTTGAAGAGAGGGGTACGAGAAATGTATTAAGTTTCAGAAGTTGACTTGGGGAATATTTTAAGAACTGAGAAATTAATTACCCATTCGTGCAATACCATTCCCTGAATTGCCACATTGTCGCACTATTTCATTACTGATACATGAAGATAAAGCATCATCATACAGAGTGTACCAGACTGGGTTTAAGGAAGCTTGTACAGTGTCTATTTCTTTCTGATGTGAACCTAAGCATTGGAGGAAAGATGTTCCTTGGGCTCCCTCTCCTGGCCACTTTCAGAATACAATTTCACATTTGAGTTTAGAAGTAATGATGCCTTCGCTGGAGTTATGCAGAGCCTTGGTGAGACCACAGCTGGATTATTGCATGCGGTTTTGATATCCCTACGTAAGAAAAGACGTACTTGCGATAGAGGGTATGCAGAGGAGGTTCACTAGGCTAATGCTGGGGATGCAGGACTATCCTATGGGGAGAGATTAGTTTAACTAGTCAGAGGACTTGACAGAGTTTATTTGGACAAAGTTGATTCCCCTTATGGGAAAGTCTAGGATCAGAGGTGTAATCTTAGAATAAGGGATCATACATTTAAAACAAATGAGGAATGTCTTCTCTGAGGGTCGTAAATCTATGGAATTCTTTACCACAGAGGGCTGTTGAGGCTAGGTCATTAGGACACACGGTGGTCCAGTAGTTAGCACTGCTGCCTGACAACACTTGAGGCCTGGGTTCGATTCCACCCTCGGGTGACTGTCTGTCTGGAGTTTGCACATTCTCCCTGTTTCTGTGTGGATTTCCTCTGGGTGTTCCAGTTTTCCCCCACAGTCCAAAATTGTGAATTGGCCATTCTTAGTTAGGTGGATTAGCCATGGGAATTCCAG